CGCTTCGATCCCTTTATGTGGATGCCCTTCCACCACTACACGATCCGAATGTTTGAGTAGAACCAACAGGAAAGGATCACATTGTCCCGAACAACCAGTCCAGCAAACCCAACCAACTCAACCAACACAACCAACTCAACCAACTCAACCGACACAACCAACACAACCAACTCAACCAACCCAACCGACACAACCAACTCAACCAACACAACCAACTCAACCAACACAACCAACACAACCAACTCAACCAACACAACCAACTCAACCAACTCAACCAACTCAACCAACACAACCAACTCAACCAACACAACCAACTCAACCAACTCAACCGACACAACCAACACAACCAACTCAACCGACACAACCAACACAACCAACTCACCAACTCAACCAACTCAACCAACTCAACCAACTCAACCAACTCAACCAACTCAACCAACTCAACCAACTCAACCAACTCAACCAACTCAACCAACTCAACCAACTCAACCAACTCAACCACCTCAACCTACTCAACCAACACAACCAACAGGATCAACTACACCAACAACACTAACGAGACCCACTCGACAATTAACTCTATACTACTCATAGACTTATATGTGGTAAACCGTATGTCGACTGCTCGCAAAATGACCTGCTTTGCCAAAAGCTCCTCACTCACTTCAGGATGTCAATCTGCCAATATTAAAAAGCCTTTCAGGTACCTGTTTATTAAATACAACTGATGACCTCAGTCGTTGGCCTGATCTCGATTTAGAAGACACTTAGGCTATCTTCACTTTATGCCTAAGCATAGAAAATAATTATTTTATTTTTCTCTCAGATTGATGGATTCATTTACTTAGCATATTTAATTAGTGTGCATATTAAACAGCTTCATATAGAGCGAATATTTGTACAAAATTTTTTTGTAAGATATTTTTACACTCACCTTGTTTACTATATTTTCTTATTGAATTCAATTTCATAGTTGTTTTAGAGGTAGTATATTTTCGTAAATAAAATGATATCATGAAATTCAATTGTATAAATTAACATTTTATTCACTCGGATGGGTATCATACACCAGCCGAGAATTTTATAGAGATTGGATTAAAACACCGAAGTTATTCAGGAATGTTTTTCCCACAGTGTGAGATTAAGTGTGTGTGTGTGGGTGATGTAAGCGTCAGCATGTGTGCCTTTGAATACAACGAAACTTGAATGTCCGTAAAAGGAATTAAGAACTCTGTAAAGGGGGTTTCGTAGTCAGGCACTTAGTATAGGCGAATTGTTTCTTTCCAATTTGTTTTTAGCTTCCTCTGGGTAACCTTGGTCAAATTGGGCGTATTGCAAATATTGACATATCTATTTTTATACATTTATTTTGAAATCTTATTTATACAATTGTGATCGCGGATTCCTATAAAAAGCAGCAATTGCCAATTTAAACCACAGTTGTTGTCTACTCTTCAAGCCGTAAAGCAGATAAGATTGTTGTCATGAAGCTGGCTACCGTATTTTTTATTGGTATAACAATATAATAAATTAACCAAGTATTGTACCCAACATACCAATATACTCTTTCAATTTACTGTTCCAGTTGGTTACTTTCTTATATGCTGCACCGATCTCTGCAGCGGCTCGATTCCATCATGTGGATGCCCCTCCACCACTATACGATCAGACTGCACAAGTAGAACCACCACGAAAAGACCACATTGTCCCTCACAGACATCCCAGCCAACCCAACCAACTCAACCGTCGCAACCCACTCAACCGACTCAACCAACACAACCAACACAACCAACTCAACCACCACATACTCAACCAACCCAACCAACTCAGCCGACACAACCCACTCAACCACCACACACCCAACCCACACAACCAACTCAACCAACTCAACCAACTCAACCGACTCAACCCACTCAACCACCACACACCCAACCCACACAACCAACTCAACCAACCCAACCAACTCAGCCGACGCAACCGACTCAACCAACTCAACCAACACAGCCATCGAAACCCACGCAAGGACCTATTTGTGGTCCTGGTGGTAAGCCGTGTGTCGACTGCCCGCCAAATGACCTGCTTTGCCAAAAGCTCCTAACTCATGTGAATGATCTTAAGCGTATGGTGAAACGTTGCGTCTGTGGTTAAACTGTTAAGTCAATATAGATTTGGGTTACACATGTTTCGTGTCAGCCGATCTGAGAATAGAATTTTTGGTTTTTTTAATTTTTAACATAATAACATGGGCAAAGTCAATCTGGAATTTTCTATAATAGAAATCGTTATCAGGGACCGAAGCGGTATGACTTAACACTTCATGGTACATCTGTTGTGCTTTAGTCCCTGATTTTCACTACTTTGAATTAAATGTATTTTCAGAATTTTTTTAATTGTCCATTAATAGTTAATTAGTCTTAGCATTTCATTATATAATAGTTGTTTTTTTTTTCAATCCTATTACTATCATTTTACAAATTTATCTAACGACGACTAATGTTGTTCCACAATAATATTAGAAAGTAATACTGCATTGCATATCAGCAAGTTTTATTCCATAACCAAGTTCGTCACTGTGCTTATTCTTAATATTGTCAGACTGTCAATCTTTCAAGTACCTGTTTATTAAATATAACTGATGGTACAGCCGTTGGCTTGATCTCGATTTAGAAGACCCCTTTCACATCGCAAATAAGTTAAAAGGGTATAATGCTTTTGTGCAAATGTAAATGTATGTAACAGGCAGAAAGAAGCAACTCCGACCCCATAAAGTTTATATATTCTTAATCAGCATGTCCGTCTGTCTCTCGATCGAGTTTTTTTCCGATATTCGATAACTTGGCCCGTTTCCAAGAAATCGATACAAATCGATATTGAAATCCTTTTTTTTTGGCTTATTGTGTAAATAATAAGAGCTAGAATCACCAAACTATATATATATATATATATATTATACCTATAGCCACCTAAGCGCTACTAAGTACCTCATAGCTTTAAATCAAGTTGATAAACCAGTTTACGCTGCCCACCTATATAAGCCACAATTTAAATGCAATTGACTTTTTATAATACACGAATATTCTATAGTAAATTAAGATGCAGAAAAGTTCTTTAAATTCGGTTAGGAAGCACAGAAGATATTAAATAAAACATTATTTTAGTGGCCTCGAGTATTGGGCAGCAAGCGCAAATTGCAAGAGATTCTGTATACATGTACACACACACACATTCAAACGCGTTTTCTTTGAATTCTATCAGCAGCATTGCAATTGTGATTGTACTGTTTTCTGTGCTGCTATTTAATTTAGTTTTTTTCTGAGTAAAATTGAATTATTGGTGTGGCTGTAATTTTGATTAATTAATTAATAATTAATTTAATATATCTTTATTTTAACAAACGAGCGCGTAACGCGAGCTGCATTTGATGTTGGAAGAAGAGGGTTCAGGGTATCCCCTAGTCAGGTGCTCCCGACTAGAGCCTCTTGTTATGCTGGAAACAAACTCGATCTGCGCAGGCACTAGAAGCACCTACATCTAAAATTTCAAGTCTCTAGCTCTTAAATGTTCTGAGATTCTTGTGTTCATACTTACGGACGGACGGACGGACGGACGGACGGACGGACAGACAGACGGACATGGCTAGATCGACTCGGCTATTGGTGCTGATCAAGAATATATATACTTTATGGGGTCGGAGAAGCTTCCTTCTGCCTGTTACATACATTTGGATTTCGCACAAATACAATATACCCTTATACCCATTTTTAATGGGTTCAGGGTTTAAAAAACAAAAAGCAAAAAGTTCCTTTCGAATTCCCAACCCGAACACTTTAAAAACAATTTTCTACCAAGCGAATCAAACTGAAGCGAATAAAAGATGCTGCGAACGGGGCTCTGACTATTTATTTGCCCCAAATTGCACTGGAGAGGGTTGAGCTGTGTGTGAACAGTTCAAACTACCCCTCCCAAAAGCACACACAGTCTCACACAAACACAAAGATTCGCTGGGAAAATCATTCACACGTAACAGCATTGAGACACCTCCGGTGGGGCTGGGGCCCTGGCACACTCGCTTGTTGTTTTTGGCGTACTAAAGAAACTTTGCCTCATAACTTCACATTGAAGAAGATGCATATGCAACACGTTCGTGCCATTCAGTGTTGAACCACCTTCCGGCCTCGACCAACTTGCAATTGAGTGCTGTTATATACGTTTCTACAAATCCTTTTTCCCAAGTATATTTTTGCAAATATGTGTACATATATACTCCATTTGTACGCATTCAGGTACGCATACAGGTTGCGACTTTGGCAGCCAGTACAAAGTCTGCTTCCAGGTATTTGACATGAACTGAAACTCGACTCATTTGAGCTTAAGTGAACTGAACCGAACTGAACTGAACTGAACTTGGCTGAGTTCAACGGAAATGTAACTGATGAAAATGTGAGAGCGTCGAGTTAATTGAAAAATAGTGTTTGCTATTTTATGGCATTGCCCGCAACTCTGTTGACAACTCTCAGACAATAGGCCAACAGATGGTTGTGGTTGGTCTTTTAATTTTTAATTAGTATGCAGGAGCTGTTACTTGATGCTTTCTGGCACGGGCCGGGCTCAGGGCTAGCAATATTTGAACCAGTGGCATCTTTTTGTCCCTCAACGATGACTTATATTTCGAATTTCTTGATTTTTGACCATAAGAAATTCATGTGTATATTTCATTGAATTATAAAAACGTTAAGATTTAAATTATATTTTTAGTTTAAAATCTCTAAACTATAAATTTAATATGCCTTTTGGTGTTGTTATAATTTTAGAATTTAGTAACAAATCATCAAACATTTTTAAATAGCTCCAGCAACTATGGCCTTCGGCTTAAGTAATACTACATCCACAAGATATGAGTGCAGGCCCTCGTTTTCAGTTGCCTAACTGACTAGGTTACAAAGACAACTGATCTATGTTCAGAAAACTAGTATTTTATATATATATATATATATATATATATATATTTCTTCGTTTGTTGTATTTGTATTTATTTTAACATATTTATAAGTATAAGTAGTGTCATTTTTGTCATTTACTTGGCTCATTATTGAAACGCTTGTTTAGCAATGTTCCCTGATTTTAGTCCAAATTCTATTGTGTGCCAAATGTTAATGCTTATGCGATGTCTATTAATTAAATTAAAGCTGATATTTGTTATTAGATAATCCTATGCTTAAACGTATGAACAGGATAACTGATGGCGGATTTACGATATGTGCGTAATTTTGCAATATACATATACCCATATATATATATATTTTTTTGTTTATACTAGTATTCGTTGTTGTGTACACTGATTATTTACTATTATTATTTATAAACGAACTAAATTTTCCTTAGAATGAAAACCAAATCTATGATATGATAGTAGCTTTTCAAACAAGTTTTCAATAATGAGCAGCAAAGGCCTTAAATACTTAATAATTACAGTGACAATTTTTTTGTACCCATCAAAAACAATTTCCGATTATAAGCTTCTTTGAAATATTATATAAAAACAAGTCTAAATGAATATTTGCTACAGAGAAAATGAAATTCGCATTGCAAAATACCTATTTGTAATTAAAGCTTTTAAAGCTACATATACAACCTAGCTGTCACATGATCATAAATCTAACTAAATTGGGCATAAAAAATTGTCATTTATTCTTATATGTTTAAATGACGTAGTCTATAAGGAATTTTGATAAACATAAGCGAGCTTATCACAATACAAACATATACGATTAATTAAAACTAATTAACAATGTTACTACAATTTGTGTATTTAACATTAATATAAATATGAGAACTGAGGATAGGCATATTGTAATTAATCATAATTTAACATGCAAAAGAGATTTAAATCAGGTTTTCATAAGCTGTGCCTTTTGAGATAATCATAAACTCTAGAGTTTCCATTCAAGGAAATCCAACAAATTTTGTTTTGTTGAGAGTATTCTTAGACTTCTATAGTACGACGGTTGAACAGTTGGCCTTCATTCGAACTGAGACTCAGCTCAGGATGTATGAGTGTGATTTAGTCTTGCCATTCTTGCTGATCATCGCAACGGGACCTGTTGGGAAAAGAGCAGAGTGAAACGTGAAGATATTACATCTTAAATATGCAAAACAATTCAAATGTACCTTCAGTATCCGAGGCACTTGCCACACCCATCAGTTTAAGCGATCGAAAGAGTGCGCCCAGGTTGGAGCGCCCATCTAAGAATTCGCTGTTCAAACGCACCACGGCAGACTTTTTGTTTTTGGTCTGTGTATGCCAGACAAGAATTTCGGTGCAATTCGCGCCTTTGGGCTCAATTTGATCAATACGCAATCCAATGCTGCGTAGAAACAAATCCTCCTCGTAGCCCGGCTTGTAGGGCATATTTACATTGGGATACTGCGACATGTAGGCCAAGCTCACTGCGAATCCGGCCATATCAACAGGCCAGCGCCGACCCGCCACCCAAGAGTCCAGAAAGGCCACTACTTTACCCTGAGAAAACCAAAAAAATAGGAATCAGTTCGCAATAAATATTTGTTTCTTTATATACTTACATCCCGCACTACCGGCACACTGACCGCATATTCCGCTATCAGTCCAACAGGAAACATGGAGACTCGCTGTGTCTGCCTTATTTCCGAGAAAAGTCTCAGATCATAAGTATTGTCGTCGTCACCAAAATACAGTACACCATTAGTTATGTTTTGTTGATGCAGCCATTGCAGTGCTGCACGTCGATTGGCCACGCCCCGCGGCGCCGGCTTTGACTTACGAAACTCACTGGGCATGGGACTGGCCATATGTGCATAGGGAATACCTGAGATATATGTGTTTATATTAGTATAGTGTTTCAATTAGAAACAGAGCTTATAACTGAACCCCACTTTCATTTAAACCACAAGATCGTATTAGCTAAAAACTATTGATCTAAAGGCAGGTTTGCTAAGACTTTATTTATAGCAAATATGCTTTACTTCTTTGAATTCTATCAGCAGCATTGCAATTGCGATTGTACTGTTTTCCATGCTGCTGTTAAATTTAGTTTTTTTCTCAGTAAAATATAATTATTGGTTTTGCTGTTTTTTTTTTTTTTTTTTTGATTAATTAAATAATAATTAATTTAATTTATCTTTATTTTAACCAACAAGCGCGTAACGCGAGCTGCATTTGATGCTGGAAGAGGGTTCAGGGTATCTCCTAGTCAGGAGCTCCCGACTAGAACCTTTTGTTATGCTTTCATTTATGCCTAAGCATAGAAAATAATTATTTTAATTTTCTCTCAGATTAACTGCTTCGTTTATTTAGAATATTTAATTACAATTTCATAGTTGTCTCAGAGGATATTAATGCTGCAAAGGTAGTATATTTTCAAACCCATCGAATAAGGGTAAATAAAATGATATCATGAAATTCAATTTATAAATGTGGGTAACACAACATTTTATTCATTTGGATGGGTATCATAGACCAGTCGAAAATTTCAAAGAGATTGGATTAAAAACACCGAAGTTATTCAGGAATGTTTTTCAAACAGTGTGAGAAGTGTGTGTGTGTAGGTGATGTGTCAACATGCGTGGCTTTGAGTACAACGATACTTAAATGTCTGTAAAAGCAATTAAGAACTCTGTAAAGGGGGTTTCATAGTCGGGCCCTTTGCGCAATTAGTGGCTTGGGTACTTAGTATAGACGAGTTGTTTCTTTGTACTGAACAATTCCAGTTACTTTTTATCTTCCACAGGGTAACATCGGTTAAAATGGGAGCGTTGCAAATATTTACATAAATAATTATTTTTTACATATATTTTGAAATCTTATTTATACAATTGAGATCGCGGATTCCTATAAAAAGCAGCACTTGCAAATTAAAACCATAGTTGTTGTCTATTCTTCAAGCCGTAAAGCAGATAAGATTGTTGTCATGAAGCTGGCTACCGTATTTTTGATTGGTATAACAATATAATACATTAAGGAAGTATTGTACTCAACATTCCAATATACTGTTTCATTTCCAGTTAGTTACTTCCTTATATGCTGCACCGATCTCAGCAGCAGCGCTGCGATCCCTTTATGTGGATGCCCCTCCACCACTACACGATCCGACTGTTTAAGTAGAACCAACAGGAAAGGATCAGATTGTCCCGAACAACCATCCCAGCAAACCCAACCAACTCAACCGACGCAACCCACTCAACCGACGCAACCAACTCAACCGACGCAACCCACTCAACCGACGCAACCCACTCAACCAACACAACCAACTCAACCGACACAACAAACTCAACCGACGCAACCGAATCGACGGACACGCAGACAAGCAACCCAACCAACTCAACCGACACAGCCAACTCAACCGACACAACCAACCCAACCAACTCAACCGACACAACCAACACAACCAACACAACCAACTCAACCTACGCAACCGATTCGACGGGCACGCAGACGACCAACCAACACCACCAACACAACCAACACAACCAACACAACCAATACAACCAATACAACCAACACAACCAACACAACCAATACAACCAATACAACCAACACAACCAACACAACCAACACAACGAACACAACCAATACAACCAACACAACAAGGGCAAGATCGATCTGGAATTTACTATAATGGAAATGACTTAAAAAATGGTTAACATTTTAACGAGAATAATTCTTACTATTTTACTTAAATTTTAAATGTTACAAGCCATTCAAAACTATGTTTCTGTAGCGATATTTTCATGAAAAGATATAACACTTCGTGGTATATCTGTTATGCAGTTTTAGTTTGAATTAGATATATTTTCAATGTTTCGCAAGAGTTTAAAAATAAACAACTTAAATTTATGTGCGCCATTCAGGTACACCTACTGGATGAACGCACAAAAATAAAAAAAATAAAAAAAAAAACAAAAAGCAAAAAGTTCCTTTCGAATTCCCAATCCGAACACTTTAAAAAAAATTTTCTACCAAGCGAACTTTAACTGAAGCGAATAAAAGATGCTACGAACGGGGCTCTGACTATTTATTTGCCCCAAATTGCATTGGAGAGGGTTGAGCTGTGTGTGAACAGTTCAAACTACCCCTCCCAAAAGCACACACACACAGCCTCACACAAACACAAAGATTTGCTGGGAAAATCATTCACACGTAACAGCATTGAGACACCTCCGGTGGGGCTGGGGCCCTGGCACACTCGCTTGTTGTTTTTGGCGTACTAAAGAAACTTTGCCTCATAACTTCACATTGAAGAAGATGCATATGCAACACGTTCGTGCCATTCAGTGTTGAACCACCTTCCGGCCTCGACCAACTTGCAATTGAGTGCTGTTATATACGTATCTACAAATCCTTTTTCCCAAGTAGATTTTTGCAAATATATGTACATATATACTCCATTTGTACGCATTCACATATATGTGAGGAGATTATTTATAGCAAATATGCTTTAATCTCTAGAGTGATATAACTCTATTTTCTTATCTGTCCCCATCTCGCTTCAAATATTAGATATTGAAGATCAAATTGCTATATGGCACATCTGATTCCTGGTATTAATTTATATTTGTTGTAAATAAACCTACCAAATCCACTTAACAGTGTGTCCAGAAACGTATCACATCTCTCTTGATCATTGGCCACCAGCCAGTAGAGTCGAGGCACATGGAGCAGCGTGTATGCCAGACGCTTCAGTTCCGGTATTTGCTCGCGTCTGGGATATGTGGGTGTTACGAAATAAATCACAGGCAGCTGTGCGTAGGCACTACGGGGCTTATCTTGTATATAGACGCGACGGTCCTCAGGGCTTTCGCTGCATATGTGCAGTGGTTCATTCAGAGCGATCCCAGTTGTACTATCTGCAAAAAGTAGAGAGAGTGAAAGGGTGAGTGAGGAGATATTTAGTGATCCGCCTAAAGTTGGGCAATGCAAAAATGAGCACGAATGTGTTCTGCCGAAGCCACTGGCCAAGAAAAAACTGCTCGCAATGATTCGCAATTGTGTGAATCTCTTTTAACACTCAAATATTGTGTGCTTTTCATGTGGCTACAAATAACACTTCAAGTTCGCTATGATAACAATTCCGTCAGACTATTTATAATTTATCTAATTACCTGCCCGTACAGTTGGGTCAGCCCAGACGTATATACGTATATATATATATACATATATATAAACATCGCTCGTGTGATCTGTCAACTTTTGTTATGTCTCTACATCTTAAGATTACAACTAAGCGAATACTTTTGTTGTAAGAGCTAATCTAGAATGTGATGTAATTAAACAGAATCTCTCTCAACTGTGATGCGAAAGAAAGAGAGTCTTAGAGAGCTGTACGTCATTATGCCAGCTATACAAATAACTTGTGAACACCCTGTACCCATTGAAATTATTTAAAAAGTAAAATTAAGAAAACATTGCCTATTTTATATATGCAAGAAATCTTGCTCAGGGCTTTATCAGTATCTATCTTATTAGCATCTATTCTTGATCTGGAGCTGAACTACGAAATGATCCCAAGAAACTATAAAATATGTAAATGATACACAAAACAACTGTTTTAATGTTTTTATAACACCTTTTCAATAACTCAAAATTGATAAATATCGATTTTCTGACACTTCGTGCGTATCTTATCAATTATGAGAATAGTTCAGAGCATTCCCCCGGATAGAGAACTCGTGTTTATACTTTGTTCTGCGATTTATTATTAAAGAATTTAATAAATAGTCGCATTGATGACTGGGACTAAAAGCTTAATTTGATAATAGTATGTATTTAGTGATATATGTATAAATTGCGTCACCAATGAAAAAGATTGTTAGTTCCGTTGATAAGGTTGCAAAAAGATTGCCGTATCGACAGTTTAGTACATTGAGAATATATAGAAACTCATTTAACAAATATTTCGTAAACTATGTAATTAGAAAATGGCTCTTGGAATTAGAAATTTCTAAAACCTAGAAAAGCTAATATGAGTCATTAAACCCCTTGAATCCAAAATTTATTTGCATTTTGTATTAACTTATTAAAGTCATTGTATATAAAATCTCCTTAAATCAGTCGGCAGAATCGTTAAAATTTACAAACTAAATTTATTCGTTAGATTTCATTAACTGGCATAGTTAAATATGCAAAGATTTTTGACAAATTCGAATCACACCTGAACCGTAATGCGGTTTTATTGCGAACGATTCCTGCACTCAAAATAACTTCTTCCATAGTTGAAGTGCCTTTAACATTTTACCTGTCAAAGGCGAATCGAATGTACCTAATTTCGTTCATGATTTTCTCTTTGCATTGACCTTGTTGTGCGCGCAAATAAAATCTCTTAAAAATATCAAAATAAAATTCAATTACTTAATGGAATGCCGCATAGACAGTATGATATTGTATACACAGGTATTTGTTTATTCATCTACCTTTCCTATATTTTATGCAAATGTGCGTTAATGTGTATTTCAATCTTCCATAACGATAAAAAAGGGCATTAAAAATGTTCCCTTGATAGATCTATTTAGCCCAAAACACGCGAGCCTAAAGGCAGGCGGCCCATTATAACAGCCCAAAGGAAGATATGTGAGCGCCGATAACTTTCACGTGTGCATTAACGGTAATAGGTATAATTGTTGTTGTGCTTGGTGGCCATCTATCAATATTGAGCACATAAATTACAAGGGGGCAACCACATCGTCCTGTTGCAACAGGGCTTAATTTAATCACTAATTAAATATTGACTTGGCCCATGAGACGGCTCAGCCGTGCCCAACAGAGGAAACAATGCCGCCTCAAGGGGCCGCCGGGCCCATTGTATGGGTGGCAAACATCATAGGTAAAGTGTTTACCCTTATACTTGCGTAAATATATTAGATAGCGGCAATCGAGCATTTGCATATATCAGAAATGTCATAAAATCACAACGTGCGCCACATTAGATACATATATATATATATGTATCTAATTTATTAGGCACCTGGTTCTCATTCACAAGTGGCTTTGTATGCCTGCCATAAACACCTGATAAGGCACACATTTATCAGGTCGCGATAATAATAAAAAAAAAACCCATGTATAGTATTTTCACTATTTATTATGGCTCACGTCTGCAGGGCGAGACATTTTGCAATTAGAATGATTTGAGCTATGGGAGTTTTTTCCCAAAGCAGTTACCTTTATTGAAATGGTTTTGTTTTTATCAATTCAATACGTTTCGTTTATAGCCTCTTGAGAATCGAAATGCGACTCTACCCACGCCTGAACGTCGTATTATATTCGACTTTTGCATTCATTCAACAAAATTTAATCCACAATACATTTAACCCATTGTTATTGATCGACATATGTAAAGTATTAGTCACTTGTTCTAGATTACTTATTAAATTAGTCGGAGAGTCCATACATCAACTACTCTATTGTATTTATATATAAAAATGTTTTTTTCTATGCACGTGCTCTTCTGTTCCCAACAATTTGCTTAATCGCGTGCAATTTGAATGGCATCTTTGGGTCAGGCCCAACAGAACGAATAACGACCGGATAAATGCATGGGTATAATTTAAAAATCGTAAATATTTATGTAGAAAATTTGAGTCCGTGACATGTCCAAAGTGCATCAACTATGCCAGCCTGTAAAAACAAAAGCAATGGCAAAAGCAGGCGGCACGCGGAATTCGAATTTTGGAAATCGACCAACTTTTTCAGGGGGCCAATAAACTAGACAAATTGAAATGGGCTTAAAGCTGAGAATTGCCAATTCCAATATATACTAAAAGCAATCGAGAGTCGAACTATTTGGTTAGAACATCAACGCAAACGCAACGAAAAGGCAGCACCAATTGGCAAGGTGTACGGAATCGGGTCGCGAGTTGGGGGCCATAGCTTTCAAAAGGCAATTAGCTGTTCGTTCAAAAAATTACCATATATATTTAAACTATACAGCTGCCGAGCGTGGAAAAACTGCAATTAACCGATTGTAAAATAAGTTCGAGTCGCTTGAGATATGCGAGACTTGACAGTTTCCAATTTTGATTGATTAAGCAATTGCTGGGGCTCGAATTAAATATGCAACTATCCTATTTACCGTGAGCTTTAATTAGTTAATTAAGTTTTGTCAAGCTAATCATCTACTGAAGATATATTGAGTTTCAATTCAGAAATGGATCGTTTTGTAAATTCGAATCTTATAGTTATTGTAGTTATTGAACTAGTTTGTTTGCTTACAAAAGAATTATTGTTTAAAAGGGAGTATTTATTTATAGCTAGATTTGTCGGATCATTTCACAAGAAATTAAAATTTTAGCTCTCCAGAAATTCCATAGCAATCTTATAAATGATGTCACCCTCGCTGGCTTTGCGGCTAATAAATATTTACGCTAAATTGGTTGCGCGGTCAAACAACTTTTCAAATTGCGCAATGATCAAGAGAATGACAGTACGCGTGAATGGAACATGCCAACAAATTTGAAACTTTCAAGAAAATATTGCGTTTAATGATATTTTGAATGCGGGAATTTGCCATTTGCAGAAGCAGCAGCCGAAGCAATAATAGTTTTAATAGCTCATTTGAAATTCTAAACACACATCAAAGACGCCTTCCGGATGCGAAGCCGAATCCGAGTTCGATGCGAATCGCGTGCTGATGCACCGCTGGAACAATGGAGAATATCGATCGAAATGTGAACCAGGCGCAACAAAAGGCCTCAAATGTTGGCGAAATTATCTAATAAATTACGTATAAGAAATTAAAACCAGAGCCGGAAAATGTGGCCTTGGCATGCACCGTGACCGTAAATGCGATGGCTATTAAAACGCACGAAGATATTTGCAGAACGGGTGACGGGTATCGATAAAATATATTGCTGAAAGAGACAATGCTTGGCAAATTAGGCCAATTACGGCTAAATAATAAATAGTAACAACAAAAACAACAACAACAATAGTTAATAAACCAACTAAGGCAAACCCAAGCAGACCCACCCGTCAGCTTACACGGAGTGATTGCCGTAACACTTTGGAGCCAAGCCAACGGCTGTCCGGAGAGGGAACCGGGAAAGCGCTGTAAAGCTAACAGTCGGAGAAATGTGAGAGTGAGAGTGAAAGATAGAGATAGTGATATAGAAAGAAAGAGAGGGTGCGAGAGAGCGCGAGTGCGAGCAGAAGAGTGAGCGGCTTTTGGGTGTCGAGTGTTTGCTCGTTAGTCAGTTGGTTATTTTACTTGTTTACCCTTTCAAAGGATGGGCATTGCGACTATGTAAGGAAATGTGTAACGCCTCGAGAGAGACATTCTTTCGGAAGCGAGGTGACAAAAAAATAAACAACAAAACTATATGGCTGTCATAGGAGCCATAATATATAAATAAATACAACTTTTGAAATTGACTTACATTACAACTTACGTCTTTCATTAGAATTAATATGGTCTTCGCTTTAGTTATTAAATTAAATGTCATGTAGTCACAATATTCAGAACCGATTGAGCGTATTTGCGGTTAAGCAAATAATTTATCGGTTAACTCAATTCTTTTGTTAGTTAAATCTGGCACATAACATCGCATTTCTATATATTGGGTAGAGATTTCAAAGCACCATGTGAAAAACAAATCTGCAAGCGTATTCAACATTCAGCGTAATAAAGATATCTATATCATATTTAATTTTATTTAAAGGTTAGCTATAGTGACTTATGAAGCGCCTCCCCACAAAAGCTAACCCAAATTAAACTGGGTTATTAAAAAAGGGCATACAAATTATGTGGAAATAATCATTTTTTAGATGGATTTATAGAAGAGGTTCAATAATGACAGACTGCGCTAGAAAATCAAAAGTCCCCAAAAACGAGTATCGTGTAGCGCACTCGAAAAGTGAAAGTCTTGGCTTAGATTCAGTTTTAAATAGTTTACGACTGTTGCAACAATGCATTGCCAGGCTGGCGGGCAAGAGGGGAGCTACGAATGATGTGTATATGTATATGTACATGTGTGTATATATGGTATGTGAATTGATAAGGACAGACCGCTGGCTCAGACAGTTAAGGTCTGATTAACTGGTCATTCACTTGTATCAGGAAAATAATACAGAAAAATTAACAAATGAGACTCGAAATTGAAATATGGAATATGTAATATTATCAAGCGCTTGGATGAATGAATTATGGGGACTGTGGAGAATGGAGAATAGGCTTACGTATGCGTCCATGATTGCGCTTGCTTATGGTTGCTTTGAATGGATAGTCGTGTGGAATCATCTGCATCCCTAAGATTAGTTTTAGGTGCCGCCGCTTACCTTTGCCGTTGTGTAGCTCATAGATACCATTGGCATCCTCCGCTCCGTCGTCGCCCCGGCCCGTCGATTGGGGACTGACAAAGAAGTAGCCGACGAAGCAGACCCCGACCACAATCAGCAGCAGCATGATGCAGTAGCTCCGCTTGCACGTCCCTGTACCTCTCAGTCGTGGCGCCATGCCCATGGACGGCAGCTGGTCGCCTGTGGCCAGCAGCTGTGGATAGCAGCGTGTATGAAGGTGCTGGTACTGGCTGCTCCGCCCGCTCCGGCCGCTCGACTGCTCGTCGTCGTCTTCAATTGCCCAGCGTTCGTCGTTGTCGTCGGATGCTTGCGGCTCGAGTGGTTGGTAGTAGGCACTTGGCATTGTGCGACTGGCCTACAGCGGGGCACAGCTGTCGCAGCTCCTAAGGGGTGGTGGTGGCAGTGGCAACTGCAACTGCAACTGCGGCAGCTGATGATTGAGACGCAGACGGCGGCAGAGATGACGACAGCGCCGGGCTGTGTTTGCCATTTGTGTGTGGACTTGACTTTAGCCCGAAAAGTGCTGTGTTGCGCGATTTATTGAATCTCTCCTTTCCTCTCTCCTCTCCTATCTCTGCATGCTATATATATGTTATATATATCTACAACGGCACAATTTGGTCATAGCCTCGCGTTTACTTTTTTAATTTTCAACAATACAAAATACTCTTATTATTGTTATTATTATTATTCTGCCTTGGCCATTACTATTACGATTATTATTATTACTATTATATGGCAGTTGTCGCCTCACAAAAGTCTATAAACATCATACAAACGCACACTTGCACTCGCACACACAACACGCTCGAATATGAGAACGCCGCCTGCTTTTTAGCTGTTAAGCAAAACACAAATGAAAAAAGTGTTGCTTAATATGCGATTATTTATTTCGGCTGTTATTCCATTCGCTTTTGTTGTTGTCTCGATGAGTTTGACAGCAGCACTGACGGCTGTGCCAGACAGCCCACTTTTGTCCGAGAGAGCACAGTCGATTGAGCCTACACGCGCGCTCTCTCTCTATCTGTCTCTCACTCGCTCATAGCGTTTCACAGAGTTGCTTTGCAAAGCAATATTTTGTGGTTGATGTCTTCGCTTGCGTTGACAGTTTCGAAATTAATTTAAATGAATTGGCGGGATTTTTAAAAAGAAAAAAATTATGTTCGCTTTAGACACCTTCCAAGTTTCTGCATCTGTAATCAAATTTTGAAAAAATTATTCGCAATCAAAACCAAATACATCTAGTTTGATAAGAAACCTTTGCGACTGTGGACTTGGCGACTCTAAAACTGTAATTGATTGACAAGAACTTTCAAACTGTGTGAGATACGGATAATAATTTTGAGGAATAGGCGTAATTGGGGAATCCCTGGAGTTTATTTTGTTTTTCCCAAGATGTCTTAACCAAATTCAAACTCTTAACCAAACTCTTTTAAATCCTAAGTCCAGTGAGAGATATCTCGAAGGAAACACTTTAAAAGGGACTTATATACAAACTTCATTTTTGAGCTAATGCTATTGGAACAATTGTTTAATGGAAAATATACACTCCGGGATTTCCCAATCCCACATATTCCTATTCTAAAAAGAAAATATTGATTTATGGCATTAATTCTGCGCAAATCTGTATTTTAAAGTGTGTTAAAAAAATATCGAAGTGATATTTTGGCAGTGGATAGATATTTGAGAAAGCAATTTGGATACTTTAATAACATTTCAATGTGGCCGTTCAGATCATCTTAAGGATATCACTATTAAAACATTCAATTCAATATTTCATTCCAATTGTAATATTAATCACTTTTGGTGCTCGACTTTGAATTCTTATCTCTGAAAATACTTGTATTGTTTTCTCGTTTATAGAGACCAATTGGTTGGCGTTTGGAAACCTATATAATCTAATCTGCAATATTTTACCTTTGCACCTGGTAACCGAAAGGTGAGTTAGTAAATGACTTGAATATTTTATTTTTTGATACTGCGAACTTCCGTGTCATTCACATTGAGTTCACATAGCCTGGAATATTTACAATTTGACAAGTGCAAAAAAACAAGGTTGAGAATTTGTTTTACATTTATTTATTTGATTTAATCTGTTTGCTGTTTTCGTGAAACGTTTACAATAAATTTGCGTTACAAAAAGAACCCGTCTTAACTAGTTAGTAAATTAGGCAAACATTTTACTTTAGTTACATTTAAAGCCACTTTTGTATCTCATTTTTTGTTCATGCTGCGCTGCAGTGTGGAACACGGCAAATAATTTCGGTTACTAATAATGCAATTAATCCGCGTAAATCGAGTGCAATGATTGATTCGATAAAATGTTTCCTATTTTCTTTGCTTCTTATTTGTTGTTGTTGAACACGTCACAGGCAACATTGCACTTATGGAATACATAATTAACTAAATGGTATGAAGAAAACTCATTGATACACCTAAGCGAATTGTCTTTTTGTGGTCGCGGGGACAATCCATTTGAAGAGGCATTTGGGTTTAACTGTTATTGCGTTTGCGTTTAAATGAGCTTCTGAATGGTCTCGGCCAGTCGGCCGGCATTGGCGCCGGCGAACTCCTCCACCTTGACGGAGTTCTTGATGAACAGGAACGTGGGCATGCTGGAAATGTTATACTCCATGGCGATGTCTTCGCACTCGTCCACATCGACCTGTTTGTGGCCAAACATTCGATTAGATTTACATTTTCAACTTAGTGGGAGTAATTTTTTGCACCTACCTTGATCACGACTATCTTTTCGGCATACTGCTGCGACAGTTCCTCCAGCTTGGGCGCAATCATCTTGCAGGGTCCACACCAGGTGGCAAAGAAGTCCACAACGACCAGCTTGTCGCCAGCATTCGTCAGCTGTGTCTTGAAGTCGTTCTAGAAAATCAAAAACATGTACCACAATTAGTCACAATGTTGTCTTTCATTCGATGACCCAAATGCATTTGTGTTTCTATAGCCCCGTCGAGGAGTTAGCCCAATGCATTTTTCACAATTTCATCATTTCATTGAATGCTATTTTATGACATTGTATTTTCCGATTGTGTTTTATATTTATAATTCTAATTTGTACAGTGCTTATCATGAGCAGGGCCCGAGTTAGCAGTCTATCGATTTGTTTTTGGGCAGCTACTGAAACACGTTCCTCTTATCTGTGCGGGCCAACATGTGTAAGCATTACATAAAGCAAGTATATAGGATTATGTGCAAATATGTATGTATCTCAGCTGCACTATATATATATAGTATTACACTTCAGTCCCATTCATATCTCTTGCAGTTTAATATTTGTATTTGGACTCTCCACCCTCTCCGCCGCACGACTGGGCCATTTGCTTAATTGCTTAACCATCGACAACGTGTCTCATTTGAATTGGACTCGACTTGACCTGAACTTAACTTCCGACATGCCTCGGGCAAAAACTTGTGTGCTTACATTTCCACATGCCCAAGCTCTGTGCTAAATTCCTTTTGAGTTAAATGAATTTCCCAAATATTTTGCATACCATTGGCATGGGCTGTATTAAATTTCAACACAATCATTTGCCTTTAAATTTCATATTTTCGAGTGCATTCAGAATGCCAAACATTCGAAATAGTTGCCCAATTTCAATCGCATCGCATATCATTTTCAAATTGTTTCCCTATCGAAAGTATTTGAAATTCTTTTGCACCCAAAATCAAATCAATATCAAAATGTGTGTACTGTACTTTTACTCAAACATTTGCTTTGACTTGGCCCAGTCCGAACTCCCTGATTCTGGCCAAGGCCTGTCACGTTTTCTGAAATGACCTTTTATTAATTGCGCCCATTTCCAGCACGACATTCTGTTGGCCAAACGCCCGATGATTCATTGCGTTAAAGTTAGTCCAGAGCTCGAGCTCTAACTAAGCGTAGTTAGCGCAAGAAATGACTGCCCTTAACTGGTAATATATTTGAATTGAACCTTGCGATAGGGATCTGCTTTAACCAATCAATTGCAATTGTATTCACAAAGTGTGACTACGATGCAAAATACTTGGAACCGGTTGCCCCTGTGCCAAAGGCCATGTTTTAACTAGTTTTGGCATTTGTTTTTGTTTTCGTTTGTAACAAGAATTTTGCTTGGCTTGTCTCATTTTATAGCTGCCCACACAATATCTAAAATCGGGACTTAAGGCATACGAATGATTCATTTTGTGAGCACATACTATTTAATCATCTAATTAATTCGAAACAAGACTTTACTCACGGCAGTTAAAATTATCATTTCATATTTTTCAGAAATCAATGATTAATTTTAACTAGGAATTAGTCAAGTGCAGAATAGTTAAATATTGATTTTAAGAGGAGGGCATCTACAACCCAATAAACTATATACATATATATTCTCGATCTGCATCAGCAGTCTTAAAGCTATTGTCTCAAAACTTATGTCGGAACCATCCGGATGGGAGTAATATCATATATATTATGCACAAGGGTTTCTTTCGTACTTTATCGTTTATTTTTCTTTGTGTCAGTTTCTTATCTATAGTTGAAATATTTGTTTTTGTGTTCTAAGATGGAAGTATTTCGTTTTATGGTAAAAATATTTTTGCAGATAGCATTTGGTTGAAGTTTTTACTTAATTCATAAGGCTTAGTATTGATAATTTTTGAATATTTGCAAACGTAAAATCAAAAATAGTTTTGTTTAATTTGATTCCTATTGGAACGAAGGAGTTCCTATGGGATTATAGGTGTTCCTATTGTGAATATATGTATAGAAAAACGTATTTTTAATAAATTTATGATTTCACGTGTATTTGTTGTTGTAAAAGAAAAGTGATCGCACGCTCATTTGATGTTCTTTTAAGTACCCAGACCATGACGTCAAATGTCTTTATTGCTTTTTGCGACTAAGTACAAATTTTTCATAAATACGCAAACTGACGCAATGTCTATAAATTGTTAATTTATGTTAAATAAAAGTAGAATGTGTTGTTTAGTTGTCGCAGAGACAATGTGTCACGACTAAAACCGGTTTGGAAGCTGAGTGGCCCGCCAAAACGATGTGTAATATGCATTAAAGGGTAACTTGGAGGTGAAACAACCCTGTGACAAGACTTTGCATACTGATAAATAAAGTGCAAACTCATTATGGTGATAATGGGGTTTGTCTAACCAAATAGCACATGTGGTGTATGAGGAATGTATATGTATATGCATGCGATTATATTATTGCAATCGAGTTGTTTTTCGATTCTTACGGAACGTATCTAAAAGGCATAAAAAAAATGGCACTTTCTAGCGCGTCGCGTTTGCTTTGGTGCCCGGTTCGTCGTAGCGAAGAGCCAAAAGAGATGATATCATTGTTATATACTGGCTTTCGATATATTTGATGTGTGTGTATATTTCGAAAGCGTATGGTAATTGGGGCAACTAACAAAATGAGTGGCAAAAAAAAAATGATTTTAGTTCGGCGTTGTCTGGCGGTCCGGGGTGGTTAATTCGCTTATTACTTAACTGAAACTGTCGGAAACTACGTTAATCCGCTTGCAGAATACTCACCACGTCTTTAACAGCGTACACCATTTTGTTGAATTGTTGTTGGGGGGGATTAAGTGGAAATACAACCGGTAAAATTTATGAAGTTTTCTTAATTAGCGAACAGCCGCAGAGCACACGCAACCAACTCGTGGGATTTTTATATACCAAATGCCAATGCTCAACGCTTGGACCCGCTGTCATATACGACCTAACAAATTCAACACGAAAAAGAGCGGGAGAGTGAACGGGATTGGTTTGGTCTGGCAATGCCGTTGAACTGGTGTGTGGGTGGTAAGCTCAGCAGCGTGGTGTACGGCTCACCATAGCCAGTTCAATGTTTAATATTTCTTAAAATTTCTTTGTAAATATAATATATTAATTATTTTAAATGTAAAGGGCAACTAATATTATAACATAATATTTCAAACTGCAAGCGTAACCGCGAAATACAACACTGCTACACAACGCTTTATCAATACTAGATGGCGCTGTGTATAAGATGTGTACGCTTGATTTGCGCTAGATGGCGCTCGCGTATGCACTAGGCGCTAGGTCTTTGTCCAGGTTTAATTTAGCTCAATAGTAAATTCATTACAATTGATTATTAATTAATCACACACTCAAATACTTTATTTATGTGCATGTTTTCTGTAATCCAACTCCAAGCGCATTGATGAATGAGAATTTCCTCATTGATGTTGTACGGTTTCCGTGAGTGGATGTACGCTAGCATTTAACATAGGTTTCCGTTCGGAATAACCATTCTTGAGACCGCACACAGAGCAGATTACAAATCAACATTTTTATAATATATTTTGCCAAAAAAACAATAAGAACACTACGCAATGCTACACATTGAAATTAAGATTTCAAAACTAAACATAACCTGGGTCTAAGAACTATGATTAAGTACTATCAATGGGCCGCGTGTGTTGATTGCGGGGCGTGTTGCGACGCATGGTGTAAATGATGATGATGATGGTGATGATAGGTCAGCGTTGGTGCAGGTGGCGCCACAGCCACTGTTGGCGCACCGCCTACGCTGCTCGACGCAGCGCTGCCAGCGGCGGCAAAGCCGTTCGCCGCCGCCATCTGTTGCTCGTAGTTGGCATAGTGATCGTAGTAGCTGCCGTAGCTGCCGGGATCGAGACTCGCATTGCTTGGGTTCATTGCGCTGCCGCTACCGCCGGCGGTGGCGCTGCTGATGCCGTTGCCGTTGCCCGGCGCTGTGGTGCCCGTGTCGAAGTAACTGACGCCACTGTAACTATTGGCGCTCTCGTAGTAGTGTGCGTGGCCGGATACGTTGCCGAACTGCTGCTGCAGCTCGTAGTCGGACTTGTGGGATTCGCGATTGTAGTAATAGTCGTAGTTGTCCTCCACGCTGGCCGCATAGCCTGGCACAGGCTGCGTCTCCACAGTCGCATTGTACTTGATGGTGGGCGTCGTTTCATTCTTGCAGGACATCTCCGTGCTGCTGCCCAGATGCTTTATTTGCGAGTAGTTGATAAACTCCGGCTCCGGCGTGGCCAGCTGCGGACTGGACTCGTACGCCAGCTGCTGGCAGCTGCCGGCGATGGCATTGCCGTAGCTGGAGCTGGACTGCATGTTGAGCGCCGGCTGATAGGCGGCCAGCTCCGAGATGCACGTGTAGGGCAAGCTGGGCGACTTGCTCGGCGCGGCAGTTGCGGCAGTGGGCGTGGCATGGTAAATGGGATAGTTGTAGGTAATGTGCTGGTGGTTCACGGTAAATACATTGCCCGAGGACTCGCAGGGCGCGGGATCAGCATTGGCCAGCGGCCAGGAGCTGCTCATATAGTTGGACGTCTGACTGAGCTGATGGGCGCGCGTCGTGTCCTCCAGATAGCTGCACGTGCAGTGGCTGTACGTAGTGCACTTGCCACAGGCTGTATAAAAGTATGATCATTAGAATTGCCTTTGCAGGAGTTGTGATTTGATCCTTACCATTGAACTGATATATCTCCAAGGCCGAGTGGCCCAGCGGATTGCTGGCGTTGGTGCGCTTGAGCACCTTTCCCATGAGATTCTGTTGCTGTTGACGGAGAGAGTCGCACATGAATTACTCGCAATCGACCGTTGGCGGAACTCACCTTCACCTGCTTGACCAAGCCCGCCATGATCGACTTCTTGGGCGCACTGGGCGCCCTGGACGCGGATGTGCTGCTTGCCTTGCTGCCCGTCAGGGAGACCCGCCCGAAGGCACGCTTTGAGACGCTGGAGTTCTTGGGGTCGGGCCGCAGATGATCGTGCACGCCCTTGGCCTGAAAAAAGATGGCATTGCCCGAGTGCCGCCAGAAATGTGTCACCGGGTAGCCGCAGTGTCCGCGGCAGGGCTTTATCTCCAGCCGCCCGCCGCGACAGCTCTTGTTGGGGCAGGCCTTGCCCTCCTGCTTGCGGCGCGCCTTGTCGCAGATGGCCGGGCGCAGATTGATCTTGGAGCCGTTGGGCAGCGTGCAGTGGTGCGAGCAGACCAGCACACCCAGGCAGCTCTTCTTCAGTATGTTGACGTTGTGGTTGTTTGTGTTGCGCATCGCCCAGCCAGAGATGTGCTTCTTGGCCTCCTCGTTGTGCATCGAGTAGACCAGGCGAACATGCCCGTCACTCCACTCGCTAAACTCATCGAACTCAATGTCGGCCACCTGCGGCACGATCGCATCGTTGATATCCCAATCCCGCTTGCCCTTATGCGTCGTCATCCCGCTGGACGATGGCTGCAAGTGAATCTCTTGGCTCTGGTGATGCTGTTGCTGCTGTAGCTGTGGATGCTGCTCCGGTTGCGAGAGTTGTTGATAGTGTGCCTTGAAGGTGTAGCCATTTCTGTAAGGAATTCGACATGTCTTAAGCTTATCCTTACGTTTGCAGTTGTGCGATAGGATAAAATGTCTCCCAAGTTAGTCTGAGATGCACGTGAGATTACTTGACTGGGAACTGATTAGTCTAATCTTCAGCAGGAAGACAACAACTAGCTGAGACTAATCTCTAGGAGTATGTGGCCCACTTCGACTGCCTGATCTCTTAAACATAATTAAGTTCAGTTTTTCAGGGGAATTCCTTTCGTGGGTGCCAAAAGGAAAGTGCCAATAGCAATACATATTATTTGAAAGGATATTATAACAAAGTCTCCAAATATCTTGGGTCGTGGAAAGTGTGATGTTTTATATATTTCTTTTAATTTTATTCCCTTACAAACTATTATCTATCCCAAAAAAAAAATTAATTTGTTCCTGTAAAAAGAAAGGTCTTTCTCCCCTTCGACTGCTCTGATCTCTCTTAAATAAGCGCTGACTACTTCAAATTCCTTCTGAAAGCTTCCTTGTCCGGATATATGTAATTATGGTCCAGTCTTTGAGCTAACCATATGCATCTGTGCAATTTGACTATTACATAATTTGTGGATGAGATTATGTTCTTAGTCTTAATATTAACATCTTTATTTATTATAATTTAACCTACTAATTTTGTCTGATAAGATCCTTGCCTGGATCCTCTTTTATGAATATGATCTTTATCAATTGATGATCTCTTTTTTTTTAAACTCATATGATGCCTCTTTCTTTTTTCATGTAATGAAAGCTGCACATAGAGTACTCTGGGGTCAGCCTTAAAGCTGAAGAGCATGCAGACTCGTGGATGGAATGCGGATGACCTAAGCTCTTATCTGTACTCTGTTTAAGCTTAAAAGTGCTTGAATTACACTAAATTCACTCGCTTACAACGATTATTTAGCTCGCATCGATTTAATTGCTGTGGCATCTCTTTAAGGCCTCCAATCTTAATTGCACCTCTAAACGGTTCCTATGAAATGCTCGGAGCGCAGTTTATTGATATCGTCTGCGTGGCGTGGGCTGCGCGACAATCAAATGAATTGCTTGGCTTTATGCGTGTCATGGAACGCATAAGCTGGCCGAGCAGACAGCAGGCACCGTTAGGATTAGCCCAGTTAACCCACCAAGTAATGCAAGCCTGTCCCACGAGGTAATCCGAGCGCCAGCTTACAAAATGATTGGCACTTAAAGCGCCGGCGCTGTGTGACTCATCCACAGAGCAACGGAGAGACTCCAACCCGTCTCGAGTCGAGTTGAGTCGAGTCAAGTCTCGTGGTTGCCCCACGTTTAGATTTATGCGGCAAACGTTTAGTGGAGCTCGCTCTACAATTAGCAATAAATTTGTCGAGCCAACGCGCTGCATTGCTGCTCATTAGAGGGCGCCCTGCGGCCTCGGCCTCAGCCTCAGAGTCAGCCTCTGAGTGGGCAAACATAATAATTTTTTTATGTTTACCGGGAAGACAGCAGGCCGCTTGGCCCTTTGGCCCAACTGGGCTCTAATAAGCTGATACCTGATCGAGCGCCTGGTGGTCCGCTATGAACCTGTTCCACGCTTCTTGCGCCTCATGTTTTTGGGTCTCGTTTGTCGTTTGTCGGTTGTCGCTTTGTTTTGGGCACGTAAATTGACTGCTTGACACTTCGCAGCGCTTATCTGATATTGATAGCGTCACTTCGTTGTTTTGGTGGCTGTGACATGTTCTCTTCTGGGCTGCCCATAATAACTTTGTCACCTACAAAATATGTCTATATACAAATCGCGGCTAGAGCTCGGCTCGAGCATCGGACCCTTTCACTGGGCCCAGTCAGCCCCCGCGTTGGGCCCTAGGTGCATGTGTGTGGTCCGTGTTCCCCGTGGCTTTTTTCGAGTGTTATTAACCAAGTCTCGCCGCCTCCCTCCCTTCCCGCCTTCTCTCTGTTAGTCTCTGCTCCCAGGGCTAGGCTAGGCTCAGCATGATAATAAAGCGCTTGAAATAATTTAAATATTTTTGTGCTTATGCCGATGTTTTGTTTCTTTCTTTTTATTGGATTCTTTCCATTTGTATGTTTTTTGCGCATACCGATTTATTGATTGCCTCAGCTGGGCCTTATCATTGCGTTTCGTAATTGGCTCAAACTTTAAGCAAAGCACATTTTACAGATTTTTCAATCAACTCTTTGTTGATTTGATTGTGTCAGTTTTGCCAGAAATAATCGTATAATATTTGGAAGACCTAAATATTCGCTGATCCTAAAACAATTATGTAAATCACAAAACAATTATGACAATTAGATCTGTTCGTAAGGGTATTCAATACTCGGCACTCTTATGATATTTTTCTCTCT